GAAAAGGTCAAGCAGGTAGAGAAATTTAGTGGATGAAAAAAAAAATGTTAGCAAAGTGTGGCCAGCGTGTCGCTTTATTGATTGAACACAGGAAGATATTATGGATTATTTCTGCTTGTTTGTTTTAGCCGATAGCAATTTACAGTTTAATCACCTCAACTTAATAAATCAATAATACTTTAGTTAACGCAATACTTCCTATTTAGAATAATATTAAAAAGCTAGATTATAATAAACAGCAGCACGCGATGCATCCTGTAAAATAGACTTCATGAATTACAATTAAAACTGAAACACCGAGCACCTCAGACCATGTCAGTTCGATAGAGGACTTTTGCATGCTTCCCCCTTTGCAAAAATCTCTTTATTTTTTGGAAAATTTGAAGATGGAGTCAACCGATGCCTCTCACCCATTTGAAATAGACACCAGATCCAATTTTTGCTGATTTTTTGTGGTCATTGGAGGAGATTTTTATATTTATTCTGTAAACTTAAACTTCAAGTCCCCCTAGATTTAATCACTGGTTGTAAAACTGTCCTTGAGCCAAACAAAACATCATTTTGTTCCATGTTCACTGCAAGTGGATGTTGGAATGACAATAAAAGTCAAAGTTACTTTGCAAATCTGCCAATCCAAAACACTGGAGGTTATTGCAAACAATAACATGACAAAGTTATCAGAGCACAAGATGACTGACTTCATTTTGAGAGGTTTTTCTTCGTTGGTTTTAGGATGATGTATGCCTGCGCTAAACTGGTCACTTATCAACATCCAGATATGTATCGTCTTAAATTTTTAAAGGAAACATTCTGACAAAGGCTAAAGTAGTTCAGTTGGTGATCTACTTGGATTAGGACCTCAAAGAGTGAAAGGAAAAGTCTGACTGTGGCTACCAGGTGATGTGTCAACACAAACTTGAAGTTCGTCCCTTTTTTCTTATACACAATCCAAAGTTGTTGCAACGCCGCAATGTGCTGGAAACATCAATCCGTTCAAATTTCTAAAAGGAGTTTGTTCACATGTGAAACATGCTGATCTTGTTGGTTTTGAATCATTTGTTAGGCTCCTAGGATTAAAAAAAAAATACCAGAAAAATTTCAGGATTTTTCAGAGGCGAGTCACCTCTGCTGTGACTCACCTCTGCTTGAGTCACAGCAGAGGTGATCGAGTTCAGTCCTACTGTCTATGTATCCCTTCTGCAACACACCTGAATCAAATGGCCGACTTCCCTCATCAGCAGCCAGTCATTCACTGCAAAGCCATGGTAACCAACCATTTATCTGATTCAGGTAGGAGAGTCTTGACAAAAAAAATTTCCTGGATGATAAATCGTTCTAGAAGTTACAGTGATAAACAATAATATTATTCTGACTCCATTTTCAAGTAACATAGTGGCGTAATAATAATGCAAGTGCACCCTCTCAAACATCAATAAACTTTAATTTAATTTATATATATATATATATATATATATATATATATATATATATATATAAAATTGATGCTGAAGTCTCTGAACAAAACTGCCTTTCAAAAAAGGGGCTTGTTGAGACCAATTTGCTAGAAAAAGAGACAGACATGAGGAAAAGCAATCTTCCAAATGGAAATTATTGAGCCTGTTTTGGTTTATTATGCAATTCATTGATTTATTGATTACTGTGATAGGCTTGGATTCAGGTGTTTTGGGGTAGGACGGTAACTCTCCACGACTTGAGCTTAATTAAGCCATTAACTGCACCTAGGGGGCACTATTGAGTTATGACACTTAATAGTTTAGAGGCTCAAGACTATAAATATTTAAATATCATCAGTTATTAGTTTTTTATTATCAGTGTCAATTTATTCATAAAACATTCAAAATCAAGAAAAATGACCTGAAGCTTGAATATAACCAGCCTAAAAACGACCTGACACTATTAAATAACTAATAAACATTGGAGAAACAACAGGGTCGCATCAGGTTGACCTCACAATCCAGTATTATTTGAATCTTTTCTCAGAAGAAAAATGCCAGGAATCCTCTCCACAGCAGCTACTATTCAGCATTGTTTTGTCAGGCTGAGCAGCCGGGTCCCACTGGTAGCCAACACACCAGTTAACACGAACTGACATGAGGTGACCTTTCTCCTCGTCCCTTTCACTTCATGTTTTATACTTGAGTGGAAAACGCTGCTGTGCAACAAACAAAAGTGGAACAACCTGACATTAGCTGCACGCAGCTAAGTGTTTTCTTTTACAAATCGTTGGCTGATTGATTGGCTGCATGAAAGCGGAGGGCGACGGATAAAAGACCTGCAGTTGTTGCAGGCTCGGGATGGGGCCCTGACGCTCCGGGTTCCTGTTTGCGTGAAGTGAGATGTGAAAGAGCTTTGATGGCAAACAGAGCAGAAAGTGAGACACGCGCACCTTACATAATTGAAGAACATATTGTAAGGGAGGAAGCAGCGCTGAAACATGAGATAACTTTGGGCCCTGAGTTCCCACAACCCGAGGAAGGCATCAGCTGATTAAGGCCGCAACGAGAGCGTCTGCCCGTTTCACGTTTAAAGCTTGCAGTTGATGCATTTGATCTTAAAGAGACGTTTGTGGAAACCCACTTCTAAAACCTAATGACATAATAAACTTCTAACACCTTGTTGAAACAGAAATCCCCTCAGAAAGCTTCAATCCTTTGTTTGCCACTCACAGCGGGGGCCTTCATCACCACACCAAAGAGTAGAAAACCCACTCTTCTAAAAAAGGAGCTCAACACCTGATAGTCTGGTGGACTCAGTTGGATTGGGGACCAAAGTTGCAACATTTGTTGCATTTCCAGTTGGTGTGGTTCGCTTTCACACTGCACTGTCAAATGATCCAAAATGTTCCTCCCCTCGCCTGTGGTGGCGCTGCACCAAGAATTACTGGAGGAGATTACATGAAAACCTCTGAAGAAGACACTGAGCGCAACTTCCTTCTTCGCGAAATGTAATTAAAAATGGGAGTACTGTCATTTTAGCGATTATAGGATTTCGCTTTTGCCTTCGGTAAGAGAGCACAAGCTATTTCTCTTGTTAGCGCTAAAGTTGTGCATTTGTTTTGGTGGCATTTACCCAGAATGCCCTGTTTCAACTCCTGCCTTTGGAGTCGAGCCAGAGTTCAATTGCGCATTCACACCTCCTCAGATGAATCGGACTTTGTAGGGGAACAGACTAGAGTTTGCCTACTAAACAGCACTGGTGTGAATAGTCATTTTGCCCACTTTTCTATATTTTATACGCAATATAAAGTAAGGAAATATGATTAAATGACTAAAATGTATATCTATCAGCAGTATGCCACTTAATATGTGTTAACAGGTCCAAACAGAAAAAGATTGGAGCATTTTTTAACAATTTATCTTGCTAATACTTGCAAATAATTAAAACTAACCAGAAGTTTTAGCACATAGGTACAAAATAAAAGTAGGAAGCAGAGAAAAGGCAACACATTGGTACGTAACGAGGGGCACAAAACGCAGAACGGCCAAATTAACCCCGAGCCTTTGTGCTCCACCTCTTGTTTATTGTTGCACGTATAGACAAAATACTGCCAATACTGCCAAGTACACAGTGCTTTTGTTTTGGCTAAAATATTCTCTTGCTCTCTCCTGCATTCCCACAGCAATAACACAATGCAGCTATTCTTAAGACACACAGAAATAAAGTCAGGGCCACTTTCTGGCCGTTTCCTGTGGCGTGGGAAAAGGACGGAGGCGAAACCGCATGGAAAGGTAGCAGCAAAGCTAGGGAGCTGGTTCTGTGATAATAAATTATTTATAATACACTGCATACCATGTAATATCATGCAGAGAGAGATGTTGACATTTATAGGATGCCCTAAAGTCACATAATGACATGGAAAAGCTTTTAGATAAGAGGAGGTGAAAAAATACCTCTGGGCCTCAGAGTTGTCAAAGTACAATAACTCATCAAAGTAATATGTGGTTATTATTTAGTAATATAAAAGTGACAGGGGAAAATTGTTTTTAAAAAACTCAGCATATGAGTCAAAATTCATATTATAACTAAATGCCAGGAAGGTTGCTATTTAATGCCTGTTTTTGCTCACATTTCTAAACCTCATCTCTCAGGATGAGTAAAAGAAGCTTAGCTAGTTCACTCCTAACATGGTGTTAACTGCAATTCACCCAATTTAAATACCAAAAAAGGGGATATAGTGGCAATGACTGGGTTTTTCATTCATGACCTTCACATATTGGAGCGGCATCTTCACTTCCTGTTTTGAAGTATCTTTAAAAACACCCATGTGTTCCCAGCAGCCTTCAGCTGCAGCATCATTAGAGACGAACACGATCAAATCCCGCAAAGTAGCGCAAAGGTTGCTGAATGGAAATGTTTTCATGGTTTCTGCTTTTTGCAACTTTGTCATCCCCAACTCCAATGCAAACCTCTGCATGCCCTTGGATTCACTGAAACACTTTTTGGTGCATTTTAAGCATTTTTCTCTGCGACTCAAACTCACCTCAAGCCCTTACTGGAAATTGTTGAACCCCAGGCTACGTTTCTGAGAAACCAACAACAACAACTCATCATTCATGACTCGGCTGAGTCAAATCAGACAATTTCAGCCAATTCAAATATTTGAGCACAACAAGCATCTCCGTCATGACTTTATGAATGAGTCACCCTCCAGCCGCCCCCCCCCTCCCTGCTTGTAATGTGCTTGTTATTCATTGCGATTTGTGATATTCATGGTAAGACTCAAAATCTTCAACGCTGTCATATGTGTGTGTGTGTGTGTGTGTGTGTGTGTGTGTGTGTGTGAGAGAGCATGACTGTGTGTGAAGGGATTTGGTTGAGAGATAATTGACTCCTTCAGTCACTCTGATCTGCTGTGAATCATTTGCAGCCATCTGACTTCCTGGAAGGCTATTTCAGGAGTTATAAACTTTTCCACATTGGAACTAATGAGGAGCCACTCCGAGTTTTAGCGTTCCCTCTTACAAAATACCCACCTAACATGACGCAAACGTGGTATTTTCGCGTGAGAATGAGATCCTACTTTCACTTCAGCTGAGGCTCGACTCCCATTTCTGCTAAACACACACACCACAGTAGGTATTCGGTGTGTGTGTGTGTGTCTGCACCAATGAGACAATTATTTTCACTCTCGTCACTTTTCCATTTATCTGATTTCGGGTTTCGCTAATAAAATATAAACTAGACAGGGATTTTCACCCAACGATCTTGTTTGAAAAGTGACTGAAACTTTGAACTGATGATCAAACTAACTGATTAAAAGTCATAAGACTGTTTCAGCCTGGGGACTGGACAGATCCGTTGAAGCACACAGCTTTCTCTTCACAAGCCTGATTGCACAACCTGAGGAGGAAACCTGCAGTCTACAGGCACATTCACATTTTTTAGCAACATCCTTGCAGTGCTGCAGATAAATCGAACCTATAATCAACATTCTTCCAACAAAAAAAAACAGATTTGCTCTGAAGTAAACACGAGCAAGTACAGCGACTTTAAATAACACTTATTGTAAAGCACACTCAGGGACAATGCAGGCCTAAAACGCTGATATTTATGGCATTAACAGCAAAGTAAGCCAGATACTATAAATACACACTTACTGCAAAAGAAAAAGCATTTTGTCACCAGAAAAAAAACAAAAAAACAAAAGCCACATCTTCAGTTCTTTGCATGCATCTGGGTTTTATTTTATATTTTCTCTTCTGGCAGAATCTGACCTGTATTTGCCTGCCAAGTTATCCCCCGAATTAGTTCCAATCTTTCTCATTTCACTCTTTTCACGCTCACATCCCCTCCCTGCGAGGCCACAGTGGGTCAGATCTTTCTCGTGGTCTCACCAGTGGATTTCTTAGAACCCCCTGAGGGTAACGGAAGAGCTGATGTCTGTGATAACATCTCAGCTAAAGACATGGAACCATGACATTGCCTGATCTGTAGCTGATACTCGGGATTACAGAGTGTGACACATTTTCTAGTTTGTGTTTCTGCAATGTCTGTTTTGCTTGTGCATGACTACAAGCAAGGAGATCAAGCTGCATGAGGCTCGAATTGACAAAAATAAAATAAAAAAATAGTTTAATTTCCTAAAAGACGCTTTTTTTTTCTTCTTCTTCTCAAGGAGATTTATTTTCAGTGCACAAACCGGCCAACCAAATAATCTTGTCAATTTGCAGAAAACCTTGTTATAACCCCACTGATCAAGTGTCATGCCACCATCTGGGGGAGAATCCCAGGATATTCATAGCAGGAAAAATGTACAACAGAGTTAATCTAATGTGCCACAAGATTCAGGGAAGAAAATTCAACTTCATCAAATTATAATGATTCAGTTTTAAGGGTTTTACTGTACGGTTGGCATGAGGATCAACTCAGAAAACTTCAAAAGAACACTTAAAGAGCAACAAAAACAATTAATTTATGTCTAGAAGTCCAAAGTAAGAGTCTGGAAGCTTGGAAAAAAAAAAAAAAAAAAAAAAAGGAAAGAGATTTTGTCTAGGCCTGTCTTTTTCCAAAGAGAAATCTGCAGGTGAGTAAAACCCTGGAAAGCATGTTTGCAGACGTTACTTCCTCACCCTGGGGCACGTCTGTCTCTCTTTTGTGTTCAGTGATTCAAGGTGGGACAGCGATTGTATCTAAATGACTAAATCTTGCAGGAACTTAAACCTCAGATGGGTTCTGGTATTACTACAAACTCAAAATGTGCTTCAAAGCATATGGATCGATTAAAAACTAGTAAGAAAGTCAATATGACATGACAGAACGCTAGTTTTACACTGTGTTTGATGTGAAGGTTACAGCCAGTATTACTGCTTACAAGCAATTAACAAGATAATTGCTTAATATAAAAATCTGACTAGAATGAAGTGTTTTTCAGTGAATACTTGGATCATGTGATGCGAGCTGTCTGCGTTGTGAATATTTTGACGTTACTTTCTTTTTAAAACTCCGTGAGAACATGCTTTTCCTACAGCTATTTACGACAGACTTTTAAAACACCAGCTTGTGGCCATTTTGCAGGAGGAAGAGGTATCAGATGCAACATGCTGACGTGCGTTCACTGTCTTCACAGCAAAAGAAGCTCTGAGCTCTAAGCTGCAGAAATCATTTTGCAGCAAAAAGTGTTGATAGAAACGCATCAACAATCTAGCCTGATCTTATTTCAGGAAAACGTTTTGCACATCAGTTTATGCATGTGAGCAATTAATAATTTAAGTTATTTCCACTAAATTTTAACAATCAACCTGTTATTTGTAAGATCCATTAGCATCTGGTGCTACAGCTGTTTAAAGTGGTGCTTGCATGCAACTGGATAAGATTTGAAAGCCTGACTTTTGATTGGACATGGGCAGGTATGAGATTCTCAGTGTGATAACGTTAACGCTGCTTCACAGCATTTAAACAAAAATACTAAGCAACAAAGAATAATATGATCCAACTGTTTTTAATTAAAACAGAAAAACAATTACTCTGACTGCTGTTAAAATAATGGACTATAGTGACTACAACAGTGATAATGCTGTTTAGAGGATTTATTTATCGATTTGGAGCGAATGTTTAGAATAGGAATGCACCACAGGGTTTTCCCCCAGTGCATTATAAGCCTGGCGGGCCACCAGGCTTTACTTGTGTCCCCACCAGGCTTAACATTTATCTATTTAAGTTTTTTAAATGTTTGCATTTTTTAAGACCATAGTTGTTCAGAACACATAATTATCAAGTGATATTTTCCAATTTCCTGCAAACTTTAAACATTTTTTAGTTCAAAAACACGGCAGGCGGCTGGATGAATGACTGCCGAGCGCGCAATCACCAAACCACCAGGCTTAGCAAGTTTTCTGGGGGGAAACCTTGCACCAGTAGGAAATTTGGGCTTATACCAACATCCGATATTAATATTGCATTTGTGGCCCCACAATCCTACAATGCATGGTCATGTCTCATGACCAATCCCCTCCAAAAACACAAACATAAATAGCAACAAGATGGAGATAAAGGTTGGCTACCAATATCAGCCCAGTTTTTTCATGTTGAACTGACGCAGATATGTTAAAAATTATACAGATAATGATGTTAATCCCATAATATATTGTGCATTCCTAGTTTAGAATAAATCTCCACTTATTCAAGTTATTTAACTTTTACAGATCTTTATACAACAATTATTTGTAATTAGCTGAATAGCTAGCTTTACTTGCTTAAACGACTAGTCTGCAGTTGGCTGCTTGTCGCCGTTTTCTGACTTCTGTTTTTAAACAGCATTAATAAGAGGAATGTGTGGCGTCTCTTCAATTTCCACACCACAACTACCCGAGACAAGTGTAGTAGAGTTCTTTCAGGCAGCTAACAAGCAGTGAGCAGCAAACAGTCAGGAAGGGGCAATTCTGTGTTACACGAGGCTCCACACAACGAAACAAAAAGGCCAGTCTATCTTTTCAAAAGTAAACTTATAATTGCTTTAGTAACAATTTTGCAGTAAGCTTTCAATCCTACAAGTAGCACAGCAAAGATGTGTCTCAGTAAAGATGCACAATTGTTAATTTAGACTCTGTAAAGCCAAGAATTGGACTTTGATTTAAAGCAGTCATAAAACATAACTGTAAGCCTACCAGAAACAAGAAAACGAATGGCCTGACCTAAATCTGAACCTTGGAATAGGCCAGTGAAAATGCCAGGAGTCTAAAACTGAACGTGCTCATGACAAATATAGACAAACTGAGCCAGGAGACACACATGGACACAAACAGCACTGCTTTGGTTGGCCGGACATTCAGCAGCGGGTCATAAAACTAAATATCTGCTTCCCTAAGTGATCCTGCAAGCACAAAAAAATCGAATTGCATCCATTTTAATATACAAATAATGATAGGAACAAATAGGTGGACATGCACGACGCGTGACATGACTTCAGAGTTGTGTCATCACCATGGTGACCGGAGACAGTTCTGTGCCAAATTTTTGTAAAAAATAATAAAACACTGACAGGCAGCACATGTTTCCAAAGCTGAGGGTTTAGCTACTAGTTGACGGGTTTTTTTTTTTTGTTTGTTTTTTGTGACGATGCAATGAAAGACCACGAGTTTTAACATGATGTCCATCTTTAAAATATTTATATTTTATTTATGTGCAAAAACATCTGCGTAACATCAGTGACGTGCAGAGGGAGACCCTTTAAACTCCACGCCACCACATTTCTGTACTGTGTTTGCTCAGAAAAGAAGTAAAATGTTTTCAACTTCGCCACTTCAACAACCGCAGCTGGCTATTTTGGACTTCAGAAACCTGAAAAGTTCGTCATGTAGCAGCAGTTTTAGGAGAGAAAAGGTGGGTACAGGTCGAAAAGGTCTGCGATGCGTACTCACGTTCTCCGTTATCTCGGACGGGCACCCACCGCAGCACGACGACTAACCACCAAGTTGGACTTCGCATAACGGAAATGTGCAGAGAGGCATCTAAAGTAGCATCTAAGCGCCGAGCAGCAGCAGAACAAAGTGGACTTCAGAGGGAAAGGTTCGCATGGAAAAGCCCTTCGGTTTCTCTCTCATTGTGTCTGCATGCGACTGGCCTTCCACGACAAAAAAGAGGAAAAGAAAACTTTCAGCCACGAACTTGATGTTCATTTCCGCCGTGTAGAAAAGAAAAATGCCGCGGTCCAAGCGAGTGCGAAGCAGCTGTCAAGATGGACGGCGTACAGCCTACTACTTCCGGTTATTGTACATTCAAAATAAAAGGATTATTAATTTTTTTTTTGGGTTGCTGAAAAACATAATTCTGACTTTAATCTCTGATTTCTAACCTCTTCTCTCAGAATTGTCACACTAATCTCAGAATTCTTAATTTAATCTCGGATTTTGTTTTTAACTTTACTTTTAAAATTCTGATTTTCCCCCTCAGAATACTTATAAGATTATCAAAATTCTGACTATTTCTCAAAATATTTTGTGTTAAGCTCAGAATTCTTTTTAGGATTCTGACGTTAATGCAAATGGCCTCATGGGAGCGACCAGTTTCAGTGACAGAGATGTGAGTTGTGCAGGAGGACAACACACTTCCTGGAGAAACATATCGGGTTGAAGGCCTGTATCCTCTACAAAGAGAGAAGGCATAGAAGGGTTTTATAAACCTAATTTCTGCTGCATGTTGAATCTAAATGTCAATGCTTGAAGTTCTGTTTTTCTTTTTTTCAACCATAATTAGAGAACTGTTTCAAATGTTTTGTACTTCTTGGATCCAGGTTGGAAATATATCATACTTTAAAACTTCTGAAGTTTCTTTAAAATCCAATATGGCTGACACATTGAAAAAAGTTTGTGATAGCTGTAATAAATTCTTCCAAAACATTTCTGACAGGTGGTGTCTCAGTAAATTAGCCACTCACATGGATCTGTTCAACCAGTTTGTCAACATTTTTGCCACTTTACCTGAGAAAATAAAAAGATTAGAAATGAAAGTGGAGGTGCTTTTACAATAGGAGATAGCGTACAAAATAGAAATTGAAATGGCTCCATAAAAGGAAATGCAGGTGATTTCTAGTTTTTCACCTGCATGAAAATGACTTATCCTACTGTTCTAAGATGAGCACAACACAATGGATGGATATAACATAGATAAATATTACAAGACGATTTTAAAAATTGTTTTAAAGCGTTTTGACATTACTGCCATTGAAAGAGCTAAATGAAAATGGGTGGTTTTATTTTGAAATTCCCTTTTCAGGAAGTAGCTCCTCTGTAGTCTTGCTGCAGCCCGGAGTCTAAGGATCAGGAACGGAATGTGCAAGATGCAGAAAGTACTCAGACTTTCACAAAAAGTCTTTATACTTTCACATTTTTAAGTAGGTCCGCCATAGTTTTAGGTTGCATGTAAATAATCTCATGGACACATTGAATATTATTCGTATTTTCTGACACAAAGACCCTGTAAAGTTTCAGTTGAAGCTTTGAGGATGACATAAACAAGCCAACCCGCTCAAATTCAGGGGGGTGTAGTATCTCTATCAGCTTATGCAACTTGTTATAACCCCCTCCCCTCAACTCCTCCACACACTAATTCACAATGCTTGATGAGTTGCATTTAAAGTACTTACGTTTGATTTGTATTGCTCCACAGCAGCAAGGCACATTTGAAGCATGTCTCCAGTGAAACCATGAAATGTATTTCCGGACATGCTTTTATTCGGACTTTGTTTATCCAGATGGTTACCTTTTCGGGCAGAAGTGTGAACAGAAAAGATGATCCAGACCCAGATCTAAAACTGTTCCACAGTGACACCTGGTGAGAGACAGGCTGCAGAGCATCAGGCACGTTTGCGTTAATGACTGAAACTTACCGGGCTTGTGAGTAAATACAGGAAACAGCAACTCAAACAGGAGTTCACCACGGATTTCTGTGGTGTTATTGCACAAAATATTTGATTAAGAAGTGACACAGAGCATGTAAATGAGTGCAGCCAGAGAGAACCCATACATGTGTATATGGAGAACATGCAGACTCCATGCAGAACAACCCCAGGTCAGGATTTGAACCCAGGACCGTTTGGCATAAGGCAACAGCTCCACCATAGCCCTACTTGTAATGAAAGCAGACTAATTTCCACGCTCAGCTTTCAGGTTTGTAAAATACAACATCCAAGCTGATATTACAAAATTACACGACGCACCGGTAAAAAGTAAGGTTGAAAATCTGCAATATTTTTAGTAGAAAATATGCCTTTGTCCTTGAAATATACTCTAACCCCAAATTGTGGCCAAAAAACACAGTTAGAAAATGGTACAAATTTGTCCGTACAGCTAAAGAGGCTTTCAATGAAGACAAAGTGTTTTTCTGTAACTATCCATGTTCATTTTCTTATTTTGTGTTTCATAGTGGGGCCACAAATATCACATGAGATTTTACTCCAAAATAGACTTAGGCACACTCTTGTATTGAATTCTGAAGTTCTTGTTTTTGTTGCTGGGAATAGAATAAAACATTTTGTGGACCAACAGAATAAAAAAAAAAAAAAAAAACTCGACGAAAAGAGTTATTGTATGAAGGAAAACATCTGAGGCACATTTTTGGATTTACAATGATGCAAGCTTTGTGTCATTCAAGTAATGGACATCAAATTGACTGGGTTAAAAGAATACACACCTAAATTATTTTGCTCTTTAAGTTGGAAAAACACCTGAGTACTTTGAATTTATACTGATTTTGATCTGCATGGGAAACGGTTTAGACATCACTCTAATATAGCCTCTTTAGCCAGCCTCTGTGTCAAATTACGTCTGATTTTATGGCGTTTTTAACATTCTTGGATGCCAGGTGAGCCCTTTATGACTCTAGAAAGGTCAGTGTCTAAAAAACAACCGATTCCCTGAGAATCTCCCTCAGAGTCTTGAATGAGCTTTGCTTCGCGGTCCTCTGAAGACTGCGGTTGTAACATTTGCTCAACTTTACCACAAATATGCCTGGATGCAGCACTATGTGAACAGCGAGCTACTTTAGACACAACTGTTTGTGGCTTACCCTCCTTGTGAAGTTTGTGACTTTTTGCACGACAGCTGTCAAGTCAGCAGCCTTCCCCATGATTGTGTCAGCCATAGCATCCCATTTCTCTATCACAAATATTTTAATTCATGTTCACATTTTCAGAGGCTAAAACTCCTGTTTCTGACACTAATGTTTCCTTAAAGTAATATGTAAAATAGAAAACTATTTTAAAAATATTTGTGTGAGAGACTGCTGCATCCCAGATGCACAAAAGAGCGCTATCGCAGATCCTTCCTCACAGTAGATTATATAATTACACCCCTGCTGTTATTTGAAGATTTTTCAGTTCTTGAATTGTTTCTTACACAAGCATACACAAATATTTTGTACATTTTGTTTAAATAATTTACCCTAATCAGTTTCCTGTTTCTCTTAGTTTGTTAAATATAATAACCTTATGTTTTGCCCATACTGCACAATCTCTTATGCTTCTGTTTTTATACGTTTTATACTTTAGTTTTATTAATTATGCTTCTAATTACCTAGAATTTTCTGCTGGTTCCTGAATTTTCCCCACTGTGGAACAATAAGAGACATTTCTATTTTGTTTCTATTCCATGTTTTTGTTTCAGCAAGTGTAAGCCACAATCCTCTAATTGGCAGAAATATCGCAAAGTGTCAGTAATAAATCTTTGTTTAATTTCTTGAACCGAGTGATTAAAACAATTACATCTTTTTAACTTAGCAGCATAGATACATTTTAATTATGAAAACTCACAACTTCAGTGGATTGAAAATGCTTTAATAAGTGATTTACACAAAACATACATATATTTGTGTACCGTGGAATAACATTGTACTATTGCTTTTTCTCTAAAAAAAGACAGGAAAGTTCAATTATATAACGCAACACTGAAAATGCAAGATGAAAGGGAAAATGCATTTTTCTCTTTTGGCACCTTTTAAAAACATTTTACAGTCAAAATGAAACATTCATACTTTCCTCTACCTTACAATTACATAAACATTATGTTTAAAAATGCATGTAAAACTTTAGATAACACGTTAAAAGTCATGTAGGTGTTGGCATTAAAAACAAAATCCTCACTGTACCTTTTCTATTGTCTGTCTGCACAAGCTGAGTGCTTAACTGGAATGATATTGTGGTGCGTTGATGCAGAGTACAAGTTACTCATTGTCAAAAAGTGATTGCATTAAGATGAGCCTTTGGCAACAAGGAAACGTAAGGCAATGTTAAAATCACGTGGAAATGATTATAAGTTGTCTATTCTCAAGAAAACATAAGGCACATAAAAAACAAATCAACTCTAAGATGGATAAAAAAAAAAGCAAATAGTTTTAAAATACCCACCGTGAAGAAGTTAGTGTTCGTTTTTAGTATGGATTAGTAAATATCTGCATCCAAATCGAATAAAATTGGGTGTTCACGTTCGTTCCAGGCCTGTGAGACGTCTTATCAGTAACATTCACAGTAAAAAATAAGTTGTAAATATACAATCGAAACTCCAGACTGGATTGTGCTTCAGACCAAGACAAAAACAGGAACTGGGACCAATAAATCCCGCGGATAAACCGCCTCCTTTTCCATGGAGCATGAGACTCAACGGGGAATAAATGACAAGCACTCTTCTGACACAGCATCATCTGGCCGCTGGATAAGAGCGACTAAAAATAAAAAGGTTTCTATTGCCTTGATCAGAACATCCAGCTCCACACATGGTCCCTGGTGACTGCGGCGAGGATGTTGGCGACTGCCAAGGCCTCCGGGGAGAAACCCAGGGAGCTTTAAGTGGGGAACGCAAAAGTGCTATTGTTTTTACGTAGCATCGAGAACCTGGTTCAGGTGAACGGTTTCTGTATATTCACTTGAATCAGAAAATCAGACTGTTAGCGCTCCGAGGGCAGCGGGTGCGTCTAATTATCGTTAACATCTTAGTACTGCACAAGTTTTTCAACATTGCGTCACTTTCCAGGCACAAACTACATCGTATTTTAGTGGAAACAAAAGAAAACATAAAAATCCAGAAATAATCGAATTAGCTCCAGCCGATCTGTGCAGAAGAAGAATGGGAAAACATTTCAGTCTCTTTATGTGCTTAAGTTGGTATTGCCAGATCTTTCGGATTATTTGTGTTGGCCTGTCACATAACTCCTGATAATAAACTACATTCAAGTTTGTGGTGAAAAAGTTTAAGAGGTATAAAACTTTGGCAAGTCACTGTATATTGTAGTATTTACTTTCAGCATTTTTCCTGATAACTAGACAGATTAGTAATCTTAATCCGAATGGTTGAGAACATGACAGAAAACAAATTAGATGTTACAAACGTACAGGAAGCGACAGAACAATTTGCAGTGATTGCTGTAGAAAACACATTTTTCTGATTGAAATACCCTCTATGACCACTCTGTGAGTTAAAGAAAATCTGATAATTCCCTTCTTAAGTAGTGTGTTTTTAATATTTTGAGGAAATTACTATTTTGTGAGCATATTTTGTGCTTCTTGATTGCAGAGCAGATAGTGTTAGATTAAAAACACAACAGATTCCTCTATAGAAGACAAGACTGGAAATGGAAATCACTCCCAAATGTCTTGCTTTTGTTTAAATAATAAGACTGATTTTTGATATCAGACTGTTTTTAATGTTTTGCTGTGTGGAAAGTTCAGGAAGCACTGCAGAATGATCCGAAAGGAATGACTGAACCTCTTCCTCCTGCTTCTCCTCCTCCTCCTCCTCCTCCTCCATCAGTCTACTGGCTCTGCAGCCACTGCACTCTCAGCTCCTCCACCTCCCTGCCGTACCAGTCATGGAGTTTGGAGAAGCAGGCTGTGTCAGGAGAGACCGGGCTCTCCAGAGACGCTCCTAACCGCCGTGGTGGCACTGGCGGAGCCCTCCCGCCGTCGCCCGCACATCCAGACACCGTCCCTGCATCCGTGCAGCCGTCCCAGGTCACGCAGGACGGCGCCGCCTCTGCCGACCCGTTAGCCGTGGCGGACGGAGGTTTGCTCCATGCGACTCCGTTCTCCCTGGAACTCCCGGAGATGAGCTGCACCTCATCCTGAAGCATCTTCTGAGCAGAGTAAACGGCAGCCATGGAAGGAGCGCTTGACGATGACGAGAGGGAAGACGATGAAGACGAAGAGGAGGACGCCCCGGACCTGGATCGCGCCACTTGATTCCGCCGGGAAGGCTTCGGCCTGGCCTGCTGGCCTCCAGCTCCGGCGGCGTCCTGGATCTCCTCCAGCTGCCTCTCCAGCTCCTTCACCACCAGCCTCATGTAGTCGAAGCTGGCCCTCGACAGAGCCTTCACCCACGACTCCATGGCCGCCTGGTTCTCCGCTGCCAGCTTGTACACCCGCGCCTTGGCGCAGTCGAACTTGATGGCGAAGGCGAACTCCTCCACGGACTCGCACAGCTCCACGGTGCAGCCCTCCAGGACGATGACGCCGATGGGCTCTCGGCTGTCTCGCTCCTCAAAGTAGAAGAGCATGTTGCCCTTCAGGACGAACCAGCGGCGGTGATACGCCGTGTTGCGCTCGCCCTTTTTGAACAGGAAGCCAGTCTTGTCTGGTGGCGAATCACAGGTGGCGTAGTGCGCCACGCTGCGTTCGTTTAGCTTCATCCTTCTCCGCCCTGTAGAGTCTTTATTCACCTAAAAGAAGAACAAACATCAAGAAACGTCAAGACAGTGGGTTTTTCATAAAGGTTCAATAACTTAGGGGTGCATCGCTTGCAGTTTTCTGCTTGATTGCCAATTACCAATCTTTTACTGATTCCAATTTTGTAGTTTTCTGAAATGTTGCTAAATACAGCAAGAAAGACGCCGAGTTGGTAAGAGTGTGGTGGCTGTTGTTAACTGCAAATGTGCAAATATGACGTGGTGGGTCGGTCTGTCAGTCAAACCTCTCAACAAAGATTTTTAAACCTTTTGCTGAGGCCAATAAGATCAGGGGATAAAACTGGCTTCACATGCAAGTATTGGCCAATCACTGATCTCCCAAAATTACGGAAATCAAAGTCAATAAATCGGCACAGCTCCCTTACAAATGTCATTTCCTACAATAACAAATGTGACATTTTTTCTGAATAATGACACTATTACAAACCAATGAAGTAATCTGGCTGATAACATGTATTCGTGCCGTGTAAACAGGTAGATCATTCTTCATAGATCATTTGTTCTGGACCCAGCAGCTCGCCCTTTAACAAACGCTCAGACAGGAACACATTACACCTGTTTCAGCTTCACTACACTGGCTTCCCATCTGCCTCAGAGTAGATTTTAAACTTTTATTACTTGTTGAAGATCCTAACATCCTTCCTCCCCATTATTTTTCCGAGTTGTTGAGCTTCTCCAGTCGCACCAGGCCCTTGAGTTCAGGCAGTCACTCACAGTTCCGGAAATTCAGCTCAATTCAAAAATCCTTTATGTCAAACGTAAATAAAATGTTGTCATAACGCCGTATCATTCGAGTATCTTCAAAGAGTCACATGGATGGTGATGCTGTTGGGAGGAAGGTGTCTGAATGATATCATCAGTTATTGGTAAACACTGCTGCTAACCCATCTCATTTGCTTTTGCCGCTCCTCTTTAAATTTCTGAATGATTAGAAAGCCGAGCAGGGAGACGCAGGAGTCGGCGATATATAATCCTTGCCCGTGATGGTGGGATGGAGGAAACGTTTTGAGCTTCCTCCTCCTCTCCATGAAAAAACTCCTTTTCAGCTCTCCTGATAACATTGTTTAGATATTATTTTGAGGTTTTCAGATATTAATCAGCTCCTCCCCGTTGTAAAAAAACAAGACACCGTTGCCATGGTTACACATCATAACAACTTGTAAAGATGACATGTAAAAATGTCTTAATTTTATACCTAAAAACCTGATCTTGGTATTAATTTAAATGGTTTTTGTATGTTTTAACTTACAGTAACATCCTGTAGTCTCCTCCCTACTGGGATATCATGCTAAATCGGTGATCATAGTTTCATTTTCTTCCCACTTACAACCTGACTGGACCTTGAAAAGCCTGACTGTTGCATTTTTTTTTTTTTAACTATGTATAATCACATGTCCACCAGTCTCCCATTGAGTAAACAGCTAGTAATCCCTGCTGAAAATTCACCTGCTGTAATGTTTGCGCAGTCACAGCTCCTGGCGCAGACACATCAGGGTAAACAGAGGTCACTACTTACGTTCTTGTCTCATGTCCAGCTGACAGCCGCCCCAGTGCTCCCATCACATCTGGACTTCCCATCTCATCGGTTCTCCACCTCCATCATCCGTCTCCTCAAACGCAGAGCAGAAAAAAAAAAAAAAGCGTTAGACAGCTACATTTACCAACACCGGCCAAGAGAAACGCGGTTTAAAACGGTCGGGATTAGCCGTGTCTTCCACCTCGGAGGGCTAATCCATCGTGTCTGTGGGAGGGGAGATGATTCAGCCCTCAGCGGGGCTGCTGGTGGGTCACAAGCTTTTGACGCATCAGCACTTTGCACGAACTTATCTCTGACTACTCAACAGTTTCATTAACGCAAGCCAACGCAAGAGAAACTTTTGCTGAACCTTCTGTGAAACAGCCAGCCTCACTGCCTGTGCCAACTAGCAAGAAGGGGGCATTTAAATTCCCACTTGGTGAGAACAAAACCCGCATCCTGGGGGTCAATCTGAGCGGTTCCAGTTAAAGCGCATGAAAACAGTGCGAGTACCTGCGGATAAAGACGACTCCTACCTCCTCCAGGCTAAACTCTGGTTTCCTTTATTTGTAGTTCGTTCTTTCTTTCTTTTTTCTGTCGTTCCTTTCCTCCCTGTCACGTGACCAGTCAAAGGGGACGCTTGTTGTGCTGTACCAGGCGCGGCTCGCGTGGGCGGCTCTGGCGAAGCGCTCGCGTTCCCCGAATAAAGCTGTTTCACAAAAAATATGCCCAGCACGTCGTTGTCCTTGGAAATATTAAGACTCAGTATTTCCTCCCCATACTCCAACAGCCGTCTGAGGCTCCAGTAGTTGCTTGAAAAAAATATTTAGACCATAAACGTCTCGCAGTTACAGCTGCAACTTTTTGCACATCTAGAGAGACGTTTTTGTTCATTCTTCCCTCTCAACTCTAATGAACGAGCTATTTTAAAAAATAAAAATATGCACGTGAAAATCTTCTTTTTAAATCTTTTCAGAGATTCTAAGTTATATGTAGACTTTGACTAGGCCAGGGGTTTGCAACCTGGCTCTTTGGACCTTCTCCACAATACCTCCAAATACCTTTTGCTTAAAAAAAAATTTATAAGAAAATATCTAATATTTTGAAATATAGACATAGGAAGAAATACAGGGCAGTTTTTCCAGCTGTTTAATTGAATTATTTATTTCAATTTCCACAGCAGAATGACAATACGAGGGTTACCAGTTACATTTCCTTAAATCTATTTTTTTTGTCATTAGGCTGGAAGCAATGTGCTTCCTTTACATCAGTTTCCATAAATATCAAAATCCCCTATAAAGATGTGTATCGATCATAGTTTTGCAAAATTGTGTGTGTTTTTTATTTTATTTTAAATCTAAAAATATGGATAAAAAATATAAGTTGTCTATTTTCAAACTATCATAAACCACTAAGAGCTCTTAGTAAGCTTTAAATATCTGGTTTGAGTGATTAAAGGGTTCTTTGGATTGCAAAGGTTGCAGACCCCCGGAATAGGCCATTCTAAGAAATTATGATAGGTATCTAACACTCGCTGCAGCACAGTTTATTGTTTTCTTTCAATTGTTTTTTTCCCCTTATTTCAATTGCCACTCTTCCATCCAGACCAGATTTGCAGATTTCACAGCAAATATTAGTCCTGTTAACAGATTTTCTCACCTGAGCGGCAGATCTCTGTAGCTCCCCCAGAGCATCTGTGGTCCTCTTGGCTGCTCCAGTTCAGATGGATGACTAGGTCTTGGTATGTTTTTGGTTCCACTGTTCAGGTGAACAGCCTTTCTGGAGATATTTAAATCACGATTTTCGTTTTATAACTTAAACCTGCTTTAAATTTTTTCTCAGCTCCTGTCCGCTGTGTTCCTCGTTCTTCATAATGCTGTTTCTAAATGTTCTCTAACAAACAGGACAACTGCGTTTGTGCTGAGATTAAATTAAAAAATAAATTATATTTACTAATTACGTGAATTCTGAAGGCAACTGTTAATACCAAGTTTTATTTAGAAGTATTAAGATAGCAAGGTATATGTTTTTAGATATTTTTGGTGTATAAAGGGTTGAAAACATATATCCATTTTCTTTCCACCAAAAAATTGTGCGCTGTCTTGTGACAGTCTATCCCAAAAATAATCATAATATATTAACATGTATTAAAAATACTACTCTTTGCATGAACATGCTTAGACAATGTTGCCTGCATTAAAATAAATATGCAAAAGCAAGCATTGAGATATTGTTCTTGAGTAAGATAGTTAATTAATTAGTAATTTAATTAATTAAAAGCATTAGACAGCTACATTTACCAACATATGGACAAAATATCAAGAACATTATAAGTCCAGTGGCTCAACACAGTTTTATAACTGTAAAAAAAAAAAATCAATCAGGCAGCTGTAGCTCATCCAAAATGCTGTTGCCAGAGTCCTTAAATCAATGTACTTTGTGAAAGGTCAGATTTTAAAATCATTTCATTGTTCAATACTGAATGTTCTTGGACCAAAATACAATAAAATGTGAGTTGGATGAACTAGTCGTCAGAGGCCTGTTCATGGGAGCATTTTGTTCCCTTTTCTCAATGCCTGGAAGCCTGAGTTGTACAGAAAGTATTCACTTCTTTTAATTGAAATAGACAACATAATCATAATCAAGTTTATATGATCAGATTTTGGCTTTAGAGGGTTTTTTTTTTTACGAAATGCTTCAATATTACTCACATTTTAAATGATTTTCATTATGCACTCATTGATTACTTTGAATCAACGAGTGCAAAACATCAGAGTTAGTTTTTTTTACCTACTTTTGTTATGATTCATGTCCTGCCCATGCTGTGTTAAGCACTCATTCAGTTCACCTGCCACGCCTTGCTTACCTGTTCCACCTGGGCCTTGCCCTACTTAAGCACCCCTCAGCCTCTGCTTCCTTGCCAGATTATCGACAGCCATGAGCCAGTAGAGCTCCAGTGTTTCCTTCCAAGCCTTCAGTGTTTCTACGACCCCCTTCTGCCAAGCCCTTCATGGATCCCTTCTATTCTGGATTTCTGGACCCTGACCCAAGCTTTGCCTCACGACCACCGATTATCGCCTGCCCCTCAAAGCTAAGTTTGCTCTCCGTCCTCCTGTGTCTGCCTTATCAACAAAGTCACTTGGTGTTGGGTTTTGGATCTCCTTGTGGAAATCTTCATTGCATCCACAGAAGCCTGTTCCACAGGTCACCCTGTCAGACCCTCTGTTCCACTGCCCCACCCGTCCACTGCTCTACAGGTCAGTTAAGATGAACATTTCTAAGATACCCCTCCTTTATCTGTGCATCACCAGCCTTCTCCCCTCTCTCATCAGTGCTGTGTTTGATCTCTCCCTGAGCAGAAACCAGTATCTGAAAATAAACGTTTGTTTTGTATACTCCTGTGTGGTTGAATTTCCGGGTCCCCTCTGAGTGTCCTTACAACTTTAACAGCTTTCATCCAAGTCGAGATGCATTTGCTGGACTAGTCAAAATGACCTTTTTCCAGACATTGTAGCCAGAAATCTGCAAGCAATCTGCAGTTGTACTTGAAATAAGTTTATGAATATATGTCAACATGCACGTCAAAAATTAGAAATTCAGAAAGCTCAAACAGTTCATGGTCTAATGACATGTTTTCAGAGTTGACTTTACATATTTATTAGAATTAGCAGGTATTTAAAATGTGTCAAAATTAGTTATTTTATCTGCAGTAAAAATTATTCTTTAGTTTCTCTCGTCTATTCAGATTTACACAAAATTATGAATGTTTCAGGAAAAAACTAGAAATTTCCAGCATCAACAATATAACCCTTGAGTCACAGCAGAAATTAGTGCTGTGTACATTATGTGCGTTAACTCTGTAAAAATGAAACCAGAGATATTTCCCAACATGCACAGACTAAAACATTAGTAAGGGTTTGAGCTGTCACAGGAAAGGGCATCATGCTGAAAACAAAAGAAACCAGCTTGGACTGGGGAAAAATAAAATGTTGGTGCATACAAAGAAGAAAAAGGGCAGACAATGTTATCACAGCTTTCCCCAGTGTCAAGAACTGGAGTTGGGGGTATCAACAACAAACTCCCCTCAGCACAGGACAAGCCTGGTAGAGGAAGGAAACCAAAGATCATAAAGAACTAGAGAGAAATGTGTGTAAAATCCCCTTCTGACTAGACAGAAATTGCAGTCTCAGAGGATAACTCTGCTCAGGAATGAACTGTGGTCGCAGAACAAGAAAATCTCCACTTGTGCAGAAATGAAACCTTCAAGTGAGACTGAAGTATGAGGACACCCTGGAGAAAGATCATGCCAGTTGTTCAACTGAGAGAAAACTAGAGCCCTGTGGCCATAAAAAGGTTGCTTATGACTTGAGAAAGAAGGTAGAGAGGGGTGTATAACCAAACAGTGAAACGCAGCATTGGGAGGATTGTGCTGCGGAGACGCTTCCTTGAATCTGGAAGTGGGAATACTCTCTGGGAGGAAGGAATCTGAGTGATGAGGAAAGAGAATATCTAAAGATTTTGAGAGAAATCCTTGAGCAATCAGCAGCAAAACTGGGTCTGAGTCGTCGCTTTGTCTTCCAAAATGGCAACGCCTCAAAACATCTGGCAAAGAACTAGCTCCAGATAACCTAAGTGAATGTTTGTTGTTGTTGTAGATGGTATCTCCTATTTATCAAGTACAAAAACATGGTCTGATGAACTGCTGAGATACAATATATTTACACATATAATTCAGACAACTCCTACATGGCTCAGTGGAGGTGCACCATATACAGAGGCCACAGCCCTGAACACAGTTGTTCCCGGTTCAATTCCTCGCCCCAGGCCATTTGCTGCATGTTTTACCGTTGTTTCGCTATCTGCCCTTCCTCCTACTGTGGCATAAAGGTCACTAGTGCCATTAAAAACATTTAAAGGGACGGCATTATGTATTTTTCAAGCACATTGTGCTGTTTTATAGCAGTCAAGTAAATATATTAGCTTAATCAAATTGTATCAAATTTGACACCTTGAAATTGGGCCTCTGTTTCTTTAAGAAGCTCCTCCTGCTCGTTCTGACACTCTGTCTTCAGCACGACATCACAACATTAACCATTAACAACCGTTCTTAGGAGGATTTTGTATGATGAGCTCAGCAGACTCGAACCTTCACCAGGCGTTTTCTAATTGCTGCTGCCACTAGTCTGGAGGAGCTGAGTGGGGAAGGCGAGGGAAAGGTGTGCTCTGCTCTGTGAGGCAGAAGCTGGGCAGGAGAGTGCAGCTCCACAGACGACTAGCATGAAAAAAATCAAAGCAACACAAAGGAAATTACATTATAACAAGACACAAAGCTAAAAAATGTTGACAAAATTTGATCCCTTTTAAGAAAAAATAAAATCTACTGGTTGAATGTAAATGCCAGAGGGCGATCATATCTGGAGGAGCTTTAGAGTCAAAGAACGGACTGGGATTTTATGGAAGCTGTGTCGGAGATTTATTGAAAATTACAATGAACGACTGAAGCTTTAAAATAAAAGAGACAACCATCAGTATCAGAAGTAAAATTTTGGCCCGGGTGGCTTTTATTTTTTGTGGAATAATTTTGCTTCTGTGTGCAAAGTAAAATCTTGTAAGGATCCGGAGGAAAGTTAGGATGTTTGAATGACAATAATTGTGTCCTCTTGTGTAAAAGTCAAGAATTGTTGGTGTTTTAACAACTAAGCGCCATTCTATTTCTAGACACAATTACTGGATGAATTATGCAGCTATTCACGCTTCTTAAACTTAGTTTACATAACTCCAACTAAATTGCATATTCCCATACATACTTACACTATACTCCTGAATAATGTTTCTTTTTTAATTAATAACAGTCAATGCAAATCAGCTGCAAGCACAAGCACGTTCCTCTTTGGATTTTTTTGATTTGCTCAAGGGCACCAAAGCAGTGAGTTAAACATGTATTCTTTTTTTTCCCCCCTCCAATGCAAATTATCCAGCACGTTGTTTCCGGTTCACAGGCTTGAACGCGTCTGAAGGACTGCCTCTCTGTCCTCCAGGCGGTCCTCTGTGACCCTGCCCTTCGTTAATATGGCGCTCAGACTGCTGGCTGCGGCCCGTGTCATATAGTCTTTATGAACGTGACAAGACACCATTAGTTTGCTGAAATATCTTGTGCAGACAGTTCACGGCCCCCTAGCATCGCCAGCTTCTATCTCATCACACTAATCTCCAGCTAACAGATGCAGCTGATGATGCCATTTACTGGACTTTTCGCCCACCCCCCCCACCTCCCCCACTCCTTTTCTTTGAGACCATTTGCTCGCGCTGCCATTTTTTTTCTTCTGTTAGCGATTTTGATTAAGTGCAATGCTCTTTGCAGTCAGTTTAATTTCCTCTTTTTGGCACTCGGTTCACAGAGTCATGACATCGTAAGAGATTAGTCTACAAGAGCACAATTTCTAAAAATCGAATGCAGACAGCGGGGAAAAAGTCAACAGTGAAATATTTTTTTGAGGGGGCAGTAAAGTATACACACACACACACACAGCAACACGGAGTGCAAAGTATTATTTACTTCTCACAAGTTAGTTTCAAAGATTTTGTGAACACACAAGAAAAACGTCACTGACAGCTTTCTTTTGAACTCGACATGAATTCAGTCTGTGTCCAATGAGAAGAAAGAACCAGAGTTTGATTGTATTCTGTAATAGGTTTTAAAAACTGAGTCGTGTGCTTTGCACATTTTGTCACGTTAAAACCACAAACTTTAACGTTTTGCAATGGGATTTTATTTAATCTTAATTGTAATTCGCCTAAATACAATCCATTGCTTTCAGTTGCCTTTAAAAGATTTTAAGTAGTAATAAAAGTTTGCCTCTCTGTCATTTAGAGGTCCATGGTGACTCTGGAGGAGCTGCAGAGAGCTACTGGACATCTGTTGTTAGCCATGCTCTGCAAAATGATCTGACCTTTATAGGATTTAAAAAAAGCCATGCAGGGGATACAGCAGATATGTGCTCTGGTCAGATGAGACAAAAGCTGAAATTCTGGCCTAAACGTTAAAACACATCACCCACGATGACAGCATCTCCATGGTGAGACACGGTGGTGGCAGCATCATGCTGTGGTGAGTGACGTGTATTTTCATCAGGACTGGGAATTGGATGAGAAGACGAATGAAAATAAATACAAGACTATCCTGAATGAAACATGTACAGCAGTTCAACCAGGAGGTTCCTAAACATACAACCGGAGCTACTGTCAAATAGCTAAAGCACATTAAAGCGGCCCAGTCAAAGTCCAGACCTAAATCCAGTTGAGAATCTTACATAGATGCTCTTTACCCAACCTAAAGGCTCACCCCTCAACCACCTACAACTGTGATTGGAGCAAAAAACAGCTCTGCTATTATTCTAACATTAACTAAAGAGGGTTGAACAACGATGCCCGGCACAATTTTCAGATTTTTATTAGTAGAAAAACTTAAAGCAGTGTATAATTTTACATCCATGTGACAAATTATGGACCACTTTGTGTTGGTCTGTCACACAAAACCCCATTAAAATACACAACAGTTTGTGGCAGAAAAGTGACAAAATGTGAAAAAATATTGTTGTAATTACAAGTGACTCGTCTGCAAAAGCTTAATGGAATATGATCAGATTTTTATTTTAGAGACTGGGAAATGAACCCGATTAACAAGTTGAGAGGATATGAAGAATATCTCTTAAATACTGTAGCGAGCAGAACGAGCTGCACCTTGGACTCATCTAGACGTCCTCTTTGTAGAAATGCATAGAAAAACACAGTGATGGCAGGACAGAGTGAAGGGCCAGTCATGCATTCATTCATTCACCCAAACCTCCCTTCTGATAATGCACAACAATTATTTGGTTTATGACACTTTTTTTTTTCTTCATCGTATATTCTTTTCTTAAAAAAAACAAACAAAAAAAACACCTTTTTTTAATATAAAGTTTCTTTTATCTCTACAAACACAATCTTGCTCTTCTGCCTTCCTGGAAAAAGTACTACATGAGGGAATGTCATAGTTTGTCTATAAACCTCTGTTGTCCAACGTAATATCAAAAATATCATCTTTTTAAATTTTAAGTCTCTGTAGAAAAAAATGGCTGAAATATATAGATATCAAACATGTTTATGTATATTTGTAGACAAATAAAATTTGATGCAAATTATCACCTCCTCAACAATCCTTTAAAGCTGTAATTTGCCACACTGGACTGAACCTCTCTGCTTTTTAACCGTGGAGTATGCATGGATGCATGGCACCAGTTGACCAAATACAGAAACGACGGACGTCAACGACTGGACACAGACCAGTGGCCAAATCGATATTCATTTCCAAACACTGGTCGCAACAAAAACAGTCCATGGTTGGGATGTGGCACATACTGACATAATACTATTTTCTCCTTCTCTGCAGTCCAGCGGAGACGCTGTTTTTTCTCTCGCGAAGCGGGCCTGTCGGGCAATCCGTGCACAATTACGATTCTTAAAAGGCAAATCCCATCAGTTGAGTGGAGCTATTGATTTCCATCTGACAGAGCAAAAGTCTGTGTTGGCGTCAATCAAACACCGACTGACATCATTTCAACCCATATCTTGTGCGGCTTCATCCAAATCCGCCTCATTACTTTTGATAACTGGGTCTGGGCAGCATTCCGATCTATTTTAGACGTTTTTTAAGAACCAACATATCACTCGCAGCGGCCGGCTCTCTTGCCTTGCCTTGTTTTGGAGAGTAACGTGTTTTTCTTTTAGTTTTTTCCACCTGTACAGCTGTCGCCTGAAGGTTGTTTCATGCTCAGAAGAGGATATTGTCTTCTGTCAGTTCAGAGCCATTAGCACTTTCAAGCACCAGAAGGCTGATGTTTGGACTCCTTCCTCCCTGATCAACCCGGGTCGATTAGAGTGTGAAGCCAGCATCTACTCCTCTCAGAGCTCAAGGATCTCATTGGGCCCTGCAGAGGAGGAGAAAAAAAAAAAAAAGGGAGACACATTAATGTGGATATCTGACTGCACAGAGGAGAGGCACTTGACAGTCGGAGCAACAATTGCTTTTTATAGAGAGCCAAATGAAAGGTATCACCGCCCAGTCACAGGCGCCCGGCGCCACATCCGCAGGTTATCAAAGTGAACGGGAATCGCTTGACACGTTTTCCTCTGTGGATTACAACCACTTCTTAGAGAGCTGTCGTCTTTAGTCAGGTCTGGAGCAGTAGGTTACCGAGGACAGAGCACCTTCTGGGCCACTGTTGCTCTCACGCGTCTGATCCAGTTGTTGAGATGTTTCTCTCTCCACAACACGAAGCAGCTGAGCCCTCTGTTTTAACTTCAAAGGGGGCGTGAAAACCTCAAATTAAGCCAAGCTACACCATTGAATCTCTGTAGGTTCCACTGGACCATCATGGCCTTTGACTCTTCCTATACACGCATGGCTGCATGACTGCCCCATTAGCGCTCGCTCTTTGTACTCATATGCCTTGATGTATCCCTCATATGTATCCCTTTAAAGTCATAATTTATGCAAATGACCTACTCACTTTCCAGCATCATGACTCAGTTTGACTCGTGGGCTCAGAGGAAACAATGAACCGCAAGAAAGTAAACCTTACATGCACCAGATTTATGTCTGAATGTGTTGTTGTTTCGAAATGATTACACTAAATATTTCCAGAGGTTGACTTTTTTCTTTTTTTAAAGCACAAAGACAACATTTATAGAGATGCACTGATCAGAATATTGTGGCAAATTTCCAACCTTAGTTTGACTGAATACCGATTTTAGTCAACTTCGATTTTACTTTTGCACCTACAAAAGTTGTAAAATCCCAGCAAAGCAGCTTGATGAATTTGACTGGCAACTAATCAGAAAGATGAGCATTACAGCAAATTATGTCAACCTATCTTTTAAAATAATGGTTGAAAAACAGATCAGAGTTAATGATGAGAAAAAATATTCAAATTGGGTTTTGTTTCTCATCTTCCCTCCAGTTTTCTGAGACCTTCCTAAGGGTCGCGGCTTTGAAAAACACTCAGATAATGAAGACAAGGTGGAAGGTTGGCTGGGCAGAGAGTTAGACCAACACATGAATGGATAGACGAACATGAGGTATGGCTGCACAGTTGGACAAATGGATGGATAAATAGATAACTGGTTGGAATAGATGGATGTATAGTCTGACAGATTGATATGTGGACACATGACCAGATGGATGGACACGACTTTAAGACATACCAAACCAGTAAAAACTCCAGAGTTGTCCAGCAACCCTCATATTGTGTTAGAAACGAACCTTTAATACAGGATCTACTGCGCAGACACAAGCCCTCTGGCATGCCGCATCATAATTGCTTCTTTAATTTTGTTTCACGCTTCCTCGTATCGTTTTCATTTTATGTGATTATGTTGAAATGTAGCTCATTGAGGAAAACAGAAATCAAAGTAAATGATGCATGCAGAACGAGAACGAGCAAACAGACAACCGTGTCTCTTCGCAGGACTATCACCAGCAGCAATCAGACAGAGAAACAACTGCTAATTAATATTCACTGGCAAAATGTGGCTCCCTCTCTGACTGTCGAGTTTTATTACTCGCTGTGCGTTTGCCAGGTTGGAAAACCAGATAAGACAACAGGAGGAGTAGGAGGATAATAAACACACATGTGACTGTAGTTTAGGCAGAAATAAATCGGTTACGACCTGCAAGGAGGAGCAGCACATTAAGAGGACATTAGAGGTGATTTGAGATTTATGCGTAGAAGTTTTTATAATTTAAAAGTAAAGTTAATAAGACCACTAAATACAAGCTGACTAAAATTCACCACCTTGGATGTTTTACCCTTTCATTTCTTTTACAAATCAACCGTAGTCAACAAAATGTGTCTTTTTTTAACAAAAACAAAAAAAGAACAATGATTTCTACAACATAATCACAGTCATATACAAATATTTTCTCTGACTTCATTGGAGTGAATATTTACGCAGCCACTTATTTTAGGTTCAACGTTTTACTTAAAATCAGTTTTCTGTTTTGACAAGATTTTTTTTTTGTGTGTCGAAAAATAGACGCTGTTGATCGTGATTGATTTTAAAAGCAATAAAAAAGGGTAAAAGATCCGATGGGGTTGAACACTTTTCACAGGCACACTTAAACACTGAAACTAACAACTCCTTTTGCTGCACAAAGTGCTGTTTCTTTGACAACACAGCAACCTCACCCACATGTACACGGAGACGCATGCATGCAGAGAGATTGTTGTGCATACAGATGCTGCTGAGTGGGAGTGAAGCATCAGCCAAGGGGAAAGGAAAGAAAGAAATAAAGAAACAGTGAGCGCGAGAAAGATGGAGACAGAGATACAGAGAGAGGGAGAGGGAAAAAAAAAACAAAACGAAGCTGGGGTACGAATTAGAGCGGTGAGCTGGAGGGAGTGGGTCAGTGCCGTTGAGTCAGGCCTGACTCACGATGGAGGCGGTGGAGATCCACCTCCTTCCTGCCCATTACAACTTTATCTTGGAGCCTAGAGCTCTGGAGCACAGATAGCCTTTACATGGAAAAAAAAAAAAAAAAAAAAACACAGCAAAACACTCCCACAGACGTGATCAGGGGAGCAGTGGTATTCTGCTAACAAGAGCAAGCTCGTTATAAATCATGGGTGTATTTAATAATGTCTTATGAAAACAGAGGCTTTTCTATTTACCGAATGTCAAAATATTCTCTCTGATAAACATGGGTTTAATCTTGCATCAACCATTGGCTGTCTGTAATGGTGTCTTTAAGGTTTATTCTGCAAGAATGAAGCAATATTTAGTGTTATTCTGTGGCTCAAG